TAGTTTCAGCGAAGGCAATTTCTAGGGAGTCGTTCAATTTAATGCAACAACGGAGTGCTAGACGACGCCATACATCTCTGAGATGCCTTTCCAGGCAATACAAATATTGAATGAGCAAATTACGTTGACCTCAGGTCAGGTATGAAGGTTAGACCAAGGTCAAAACCGAACTGCCATATTACTCTAGGGCTTGCTGTAAGTGATGGCTTCTGGTGCTCATTTCGAATTTATTGATAGCAGAAATCGTATTATACATCTTCCATGGACATCTTGGAGGGCAGAATAGGTCATTGACCTAAGATGACCTAGGTCGATATTTTGTTTTTAGGAACGTACTGCCAAGCGTAACTTTTGTCGCTTATTAAAATACAAAACTTGGAGCAGTCTTGAAGGATTATAGTCACATGACGTCCAACAGGTTTAACAAGGTCACTGACTAAATGAGCTTGTGACCTTTTGCTTAAAACCAGTATCTAGGTTCTGGAGGCCCTTTGGAGACAAACCTGGAATTTGGCCTTACTCAACCTTATTTGACCCCAAGGTCATGACCTAGAAAACCCAAATTTGACCTCAGTGAGTTCACGTGCACACTCACTCCGCGGATTTGATGTCTCTAGCTCTCTTCTTTTCTGCGATCTCAGCGGGGTCAAATTGACCCCCACTCGAGCGAAGGGTATCCGGCCGGCCAACCGGGCGCGTGTTAATCACGGGTCTTTCACAGGTCACAATGGGCTGTCTACAGACACAAAAATGTCCTATTTTGTTCAGAACATATTTTAAATGGACCAGAATGCGCGCTCGACAGATCAGAATGAACTTTTACAGGCCTACACCATCCATTTTTAGTTGAGAAGTGGCCGTTAACATACTAGAACGGGCCCTCAACAGAACTTCTTCCAAGTTAGGGGCGATTGGCTTGGCATTCAGTGCTCCCCTTCCCACCCCCACCCCCCACCCCCACCCCCACCCCCGGTTCTTGCATTCTCGTTAGAAAGTCTTCATATCCCTTCCTGACCGCCAAATAACAGTCCCATAAAGTCAACACGTTCAGGCACTAGACCATGGTCGCATTGCATCCGCTCGTTGGTATGCCTGGACTCAAATTGACATGACTTGCGTTTTAACTGGCTGGATGTCCAAGGCAGCTAGATGGAATTGGTCGCTGATGTTCCATGCGCGGAATAAAAGCACAGGCGTAGATGCCGTGTTCAGAGCAACAGGCTCCGCGCGATACGATGCTTACGACCCCAGTGTTCAGACCGGATGCCCGGTCGGAGTGTATTGGCATCCGGTCTGTCAGTGGTGACTGAGTATTGCTGAAGAAATCTGGTCGGCCAGTGGTGGCGAGTAGTGTTGAGGAAATTGGAGCGGCAGGAGGCGGCTGAGCATTATTGAGGACGTGTAGTCGGCCAGTGGCGGCGGAGTATTGCTGAGGACTCGTGCTATTTTGCTGAAGTACTGAAAAAAAATAAAAAAGGAATGTTCGATACTTTTAGATGCTAAAGTAAGCATGAGATAAAAACAAGCTGACTCGTAGCCATTTGTATGTTTCTAAGTAGAGAAGACTGCATTAGACAACGCAACTTCCCTGCTCAGTAAATATGCTCCTCAGCGCGTCATTGATTTCGCTATCGTACCTTGCACAACATTGATTAAGAGCCAATTGACTGTCGTTATATATGGAAGGCAGGGGCGTAGCCAGGGCCTTACCAAGGGAGAACACAAGGTTGACAAAAGCCGATCTTATGGTGATCCTCCCAAATATCCCCGGATATAGCTTACTTGTTAACAAGTGACACGGTTTTCTACGTTTCATTGCTGTCTTTACCTCGTAAGCAGAACAGAAACCAGGAGCTACCGTGAGCTCAAATCTGTTCGTATTTGGAGGTCAATAAGCTGCAGAAATCAGGCGTTGAACGACTGCATAGAATAAATCACCACCGCTCTTAATTTACAATGGTTAGTTGACTCTAATCGATAGAATTCAGAACCTTTGTAATTTTCTATCTGGGTTATACAGAAATTGAGGGATGTCGCGCAGGTAGATTGTAAATCAATATGTTTGATCCAAATTTGAAGATGAAAATTCGATTGCAGGTCCAGTAGTCAACAATGTGTATTAACGTGGCTAAGCCATGTTTGTTCGAAAATGTTCACCATTCAGTCAGAATCGATTCGTGATACAATTCATGTAACGTGTTTTTTTAACATGCGCGCCCGCAAATCTTAGCAATAAAAACCCGACACCAGGCGGTTATGGCCAACGGGTGGACGAAAATGACGACGCTTGTGAAAAAAGGGTCCTGGAACGCTTCAGGACATCAGATCTTACATTTAGAGGGCAGTCTGAGCGCATATTTCACGTGTGCAATTTTTACGCTAATGAAAAGAAAGAACTTGCACTTGAAGCGTCGCGAAGTGGGGCTGGAATCTAGCGGTTGAACTGGAAGAGTGAAGGTAGAATGTCTGTTTTTCGTGTTTTTGCAGCTATTCATTTATCCAGAAGACATTAACACGGCGCCCACCGTCTGGTGGCACTTGCAGTGGCCGTAACCTTTCGGTTTTACGGTAGTTGCAGCCCAGACCATCCTTGTCCTTGCTCTCGTGGTTGCGGGCGGGCATGTTCAAGCCTTTTGATGTAATTTGTTTCAATAATGCATTCTGAAAAAATGAACGTCCTCAGGCAAACATGGCATGACCCTGCTTGTTTTCTTTAAGCTCATTTCGACCCACCCTATTCAACAGTAATGAGACCCCCACTCTGTTCAACAATAATGAAACCCCTTATTTCCTTCCAGGCACGGGGCCTCTTGAGTAGGACACCATGGGTACATTATCGTTTCCGGTCAAGAACACAGCATAAGGAAGGGCCATTCCGTCCCATCGCGGGTGTCTTCTGGCTATCATTCTGGTGACACGGGGCGGGATCTCCTGGCCAATCCGGGGAGCCATTAGAAGGATGCATCATATCACCTTGTTCCCATTCCTGACACGGGAGGCCTTCTGACCTGCACAGTTGGCCCCGGATCAGCACAGAAACAACTGATGCGACAGCATCCCTGATCAATGCAGGTAGTCCAATAATTGTCACGTACACTCCAGTTCCGTGTTTTTTCTGTGTCCTTCAGAGATATTGGGTTCTCCCTGACCGTAGATTGTAAATGAAATGGGGTTCCTGATTTTTGTCGACGTGGGCAACCCATGTTCGTCTTAAAATGCTTAGGATCCTATCAGAACTGATTACCGATGAGAAACCTATGTAATATGGTCTTGAACATGCGCGCTCGCAATTTGTAGCTGCAACAGCCTCGGCGCCCGGCGTTACAGCCTCCAGGCCGTGAGGCGTCGCCTTGTGGCTGTAACACTGAGTGATGGCCAATGAGCAAGTGAAAAAGATAACGCAACTTAAGGGAGATGGCTGGTGAACTAGGTAAATCGGCATGCATGTTTAATGTAGTGCAAAAGTAAGCCAAATGCAACCTTAATCTGAAAACTGGGGGTGGGGGCAGTTAACATTGCTAACCCCCACACTGAAAAGTGGGCGGGGGCGATGGCCCCCTGCCCCCCCCCCCCCTCCCTGTTCCTACGCCCATGGGGCCAAATGAGTTCAAAATGAGCCACGTTCGATGACCAATTACATGTTACGCAGCCTGGCTGAAATGATGACGTAGATTTTTAACAAAGCCCATTCTGACACGCGGGGTTTTTCCAAGTCCTTGCACGAATGTCAGTCACAGGCGTACGAATGTTCCTTAGCTGGTCTTCCGTGGTTCGTCCACGTGTGTCCTGCGAGAGGCGCGCCGGCGTCCGACGGGTGGGTAATAATCTCGCGCGATGGGGCCCACGGTCCAAATGAACGACGGCTCTGTTAGATGAAGAACCCATTCTTAATGTCATAATCGTATGTTGGCATCGTTTTATGAGCGTGTTCCTCCATCGGACGGCAGTTCGGCCGCGCCTCGGTCGGCGTTCCCAGGTCCGTGGCTGTGGTGAGGGGTATTCCCATCGTGCACGAGTGCAACTAAGAAGGTTACCGGTCCATTCGGTTGTCTTTTGGTTCATTTGTCTCGTTTTCTTGGTGATAGCCGTACCAAAACTGGTCCTTTGGCAACTTACCGCTTAAATGTGATGCAAGAAGATGGCGAAGTTGATTTTCCCTCATCTGTCCTATCTGATCTATCTGATCTATCTGATCTATAGATCTATCTGATCTATCCTCGCCTTTCCTCATCTGTCCTCGGGCGTGTGTCAACCCCGAGGCGGTCGGAATAGTCCCCAGAGTGAGTGTACTGGTAGCCCGAAATGACTGGGAAAAGTCAGCTGGTAACTGGCCAACGTCCCTTTGGCTGGGAGCGACCGCTCCACAGCACTGTGCGGCGTGCATAGTGCTTCGCGGACCTGTTTGGCCATAAGGTCACAGCCTACTGATGATGATGATCTAATCTGATGTCCTGTCCTGTTCCCTGATGATCTCATGTCCTAATGATAATGACATGATATGATGATGTTGATGTTATGAATGTAATGAATGATGTAATGTAATGTAATGCAATGATGTAAAAAAGGATGTAATGAAATAATGATGATGATAAATGCCCTGATGAACTGAAATGGCACGGCCCAAGCGGTGGCCGGTCTGAACGCTACAAGCTTCAGGAAGTCTCCCCAACCAGAAGCCACCCTTGCAAATAATTCAGAATAAAATTTGTTAAAACAAATAAGGTGCAAACAAAAAATGCGTGATAGAATTGATATCAAATTCACTTTATCCCCAAGATGGCATTTGGAAATATTCAGAATGCCGATGGCTATAAAGCTTAAAGCGCATTTTCACTAGCTCCATTCATCCTGAAGAAAAAAGGAACGCACATTCCGCTTCCGTCAGTTCTAACTTGGCGCCGAACCCTGACTTTGTCGGAGTAAATTTGATCTATCGTAAGTGTCGTACTTCTCTATCTGTCCACATGCACGTTGGAAGCAGAATACAAAGCTAAGCAGCCTTTGTTTATTCGCATCGCAAGCAGGATTTATTTGTTTCGCATATGCTTTCAACATCCAGTTCTGCTAGTGCATCTGCTGCATGCACGAGTACCTGGCTCGTATTTTGACTCGGCTTTCTCCCACTGTAGTTCCTCTCGTAACCACAGCTGCATTTGCGCGTACCTGCAGTTGCACGCCTTTTGTAAGTTGTCCCGGCCGGTCCGTCTGGCTGCGCAGTGTTTGGATCGGCGACTCTGTCCACAGTTCGGTAGCAGTCCTGGAGGACTAGCCGAACCAACGCAGAGTGTATCCGGAGAACGGCCGGCGGGGGAACGGCTGGCTCCGTGCAGAGTTGTACAAACTCTGCTGGGAGCTCGGCTGGAAACTCTGCTGGGAGCTCGGCCGGGTGATCTCCTGGGACCTTGGTCGGTTGTTTGGCGAGTTGCTCTGCGATGAGTTCGTGTCTGAGCTCTGCGAGAATCTCGCCTGTAAGCCCGAGAATCTCGACGGGTTGTTCTGCATTAGGCCTAATTGCTGGACGGCCAAGTTCCCCAGGGCCAGCGTAGCCAGGTTGGGCCGATTATTCCAGGTCAGCAGGTCATTTGGTGTCTTTAAGCCCTGTGGACATATGTCACAGGTAAGCGTCTTTTTAGGACATAATTCACGTACTGGGAAGGTCCAGGTCACTGGCACATTGTACAAGTGACATAAAATGTGTGGGTCGGAGGGGCAATGCAGCGAGCATGTCGGAATATTAAATGCGTGGAGAGGATCCGCATATGCAGATTTGTTCAGCCAGTCCAGCGCTGAGCCGGTTCCCGGCTGTTTTCTATACTCACCGTCCGGTGGCAAGCCGTGCTAACCAGCCGGTGTTCGGCGTCCAGGCCTCGCCAGTTTGGCGTTGGCTTACAGTCCGGCTGGCTGTGACTGACTGACACAACATAGGCGTGACTGCTGGGGGTTTGAATCTACCACTGCCGTGGGTGCGTGTTTCATACCACGGCAGCCGAGTTTAAGTTCCCTGTCATACTGGTTACGTAGTCATCAAAAACACATCTGCCAAACTAGTGAAGACCAGGTTAAAAATGCTATGGATGAACTGAAAACGGCTAAAAAGCACAGAGCGTTGTTACTCTAGTCAGGAAACCTGAGGGCACTGGCGGCGTTCAGTCCTGTTGCCGAAATGTTTAGCGACGGGATTGCCGACTGGGGAATCGGCACTTTTTGGACGTCCCTGTTCTGCGGCGGCCAAGGCTGAGGCGTTGGGATTTCCAGAGTGAGACCCAGAACTGGTTTGGTGGGGGCCGGAGCCGGAGGCCCGCGCTTACCCCGCCTGTGGACGGGAGAACACAAAGCTCAGCCCGCGGACGGCCGGCATCAGGAAACAATGTCAACCTCGCGCATAATCGTGCATCACTGCAGTCACGTTGATAATTATCAGTTGGGACATACTGCACATAACTCGTTTTGAAAAAAGCAGGCATGCTGATCCACACTGACTTAAGCTGCGCCGATTGTGTCAAGGCACTATTGCACCTCGTTAAGGCCTTTTATTGCCCGCAATGATCGACATGGCTTTCTGTTTAGGCCATGTGGAAACAGCGGCGACTCACTCTGGGGGAGAGGTGACGACGCGGTCAACTCCAGGATCACCTGTGGCAGATGCAAGAAATTTGTTTGCATGCACGCTCTCGTCCTGCGATCGGCTGGCACAGGAAACGGCCGGCACAGGAGATGGCCGGCACAGCAAATGACCTTTCCACTTATTGGAACCTCCTGCGCTCCTGTCTTACACAAGAGTGGTTGAAAACATGCTTCATGCCGTTAGTACAATGCTTAGCACAAAGCTCGCCATTTAGAGTTGAGGCGAATCTGCACCAGATGACCAATCGTGTACGTACCAGAGTAAGACAGATAATCCTGGTTATGCTGGTGATCCTCATTCTTCAGTTGTCGATGGGAGTGTACTTCAATCTAAAAAGAAGGACATGCATCACTGCAGTCACGTGGGCTATGAATGTTATGCGCAGACCTACGCTACCATCACAGTTTTTTAAGATTGCATCGACTTGAATTCTATATCACAAACATGGCCACGTAAAGTCCATGGTGGTTTTCACCCGAAGTTCACTTGATGCTTGAAGCTCGTTACCGACAAAAATTATAAATTACGTTGCAGCTTAAGGCATTATTAACTGGACGTGGAGGACGCCTGTTGAGCTTGGAGACGTGCAGCGAGCAGGGTGACGCAGAGGTGATCGCAACAAGCATGTACATGACCATACTAGTTATGATACAACATGATATGGTCTATACTATATGATGCACTATTACATTATACTGAATGGGACCATTTTCTTCGGAAGCCAATGCATACGGTGCATATCAGCGCATGAATTTATTCGACACAGGTGCATCGAACCCTAACACGCGACCGGGTGGCCGGTTGGGTGCCCTTCGCTCGGGTGGGGGCCAATTTGACCTCGCTAAGATCTCAGGAACTAACCGAGTAGAGACACCACATTACACAGGGTGTGTTGGCCAGCACGTGAACTAACTTGGGTTAAAGCTTGAGATCCATAGGCCATAACCTCCGGGGCAAATGTCAAACATGGTAAAACTCCTGGTTAAGCTAGTAAAGTTAAACTCTAGTAAAGTTAAACTAGTTAAACTCCAGGTAAAGCTAAGTACCCTCAGAACCTAGATACCTGTTCTAAGCAAAAGGTCACATGCTCACTTGAGCTCAGTTACCTTGTCTGACCTTTCGAAGGTCATGGTGACCAAAATTATATAAGAGTGCTTTGGGTTTTGCATTTGAATAAGCAATAAAGATAATGCTAGGCAGTATCTTACTAAAAAAAAGTGTTGACCTGGGTCATTTTAGGTCAGTGTCCTGTTCTGACCCTTCCATTAGTAAATTTGAACTGAGCACCAAAATCTACCCCATACAGCAAGCCTTAGAGTGATAAAGGGCGTTGGTTTTGATCTGCGTCTGACCTTCATACCTGGCCCTGTGCATTCAATTGTTGTGTTGCCTGAGAAAGCATCTAGAGATGTATGGCGTCCTCTAACGCCCCGTTGTTGCATCAGATTGAGCGCTTCCCTAGAAAGGAAACCATTCCGGAAAGTCTTCTAGCCGGTCATACTGACTTCCGCACCCGAGCGCGTGTTAAGCGTTTGGGAACAGATCTACAAATTGGATTGCCGCGGCATCGGCTGCCGCGGCATCGGCTGCATGGCAACGCCAGTCAGTTGTAATCGAAAATATGTTTTTATTTGGTCGATAGTAAAGGTATTCGACGACTGTCGGTGACCGATCGGAAACAAAACGCAAATATTTTTTGGTGATTGCTGGTCACAGTAAGCTGGGATATGCACGTTTGCATTATCATTGCCCAGTGTTGTTCGGTTTCGGTCACGGTGTGGTGCATTTGAGACCAGTTTTGGAGAAAGTGACGTTAGCCAACCCCGTAAATAAACGGCCCACTGCCTTCTGCGTGAGGCAGTGATGTGATAGCGCAATGATTTGTGGGCGGCGCATTTTCTTACACCAAATCGTCACCTTCAGGCTTCCATCTGCTCTTGACATCAGCCCTTAACAAATGTCACGCAATCTACGCTTTGCGTACGATAGCACGCCACAGCCTGCACAAATCCACGGGCTGCGTACAGTAGCACGCTACAGCCTGCACAAACCCACGTTCTGTGTACAATAGCACGCCACAGCCGGCACAAGTACACGGTCCGCGTACAATAGCACGCTACTGCCTGTACAAGCCCACGTTCTGTGCACAATAGCACGCCACAGCCTGCATAAATCCACGGCCTGCGTACAACAGCACGCCCCAGCAGGCACAAGTCCACGGTCTGCGTACAACAGCACGCCCCAGCAGGCACAAGTCCACGGTCTGCGTACAACAGCACGCCCCAGCAGGCACAAGTCCACGGTCTGCGTACAACAGCACGCCCCAGCAGGCACAAGTCCACGGTCTGCGTACAATAGCACGCCCCAGCAGGCACAAGTCCACGGTCTGCGTACAACAGCACGCCCCAGCAGGCACAAGTCCACGGTCTGCGTACAATAGCGCGTCACAGCCTGCACATGTCGACCAACCTTTCGGCAGTAAAGTAGTCCGTTTTGTTTTGCGTCAGAATTATTTTTTTCCCCTACGTCACGGCGTGCCCTGGTCTTCGAGACCTAAATCAGTTTTCAACCCGAGCTTTTCAACGTTTTACAGCATTAACCTTTTTTTCTTTTTCAACCAAATGAGCAGACAAAATTGTAGTGATAGCGCATCTACGCAGAAGCCTCATCAAGGGGCTTCCATTTTAAGGGCCTGAAGATACTGCAGGAATACGTAAGTTGTTCAGTGCATTAGCGAGGAGCATCATTCACATAGATAAGACCGTATTATTAGTCTTATTCCTCGGAAAAACCGGGAATATGGAGACATAGTTGAGTTCATATTTCGGCAACGTGCTTTTAACGAAACAATAGCAGAAGTGACTTCAAAATTGACTATTTTGAATTTCGGCATTTTGAATTGCCTATCTATCGTCAATTTTGAATTCGCTTTTGCTATTGTTTCGATAAAGGCATGTTGTCGAAACATCAGTCTGACTATATCTCCATTGTCCTGGTTTTTCCGAGGAATAAAGCTAATACTACTGTCTTATCTACTGCAGGATTGCCTCAATAGGTTTGCTATCCGGTCCTGAAACCTACGCGGCGACGGGAACAGCACTACTGGAATGTAGGCTAGCACGACAAACGTGAACACAGTGCGGCCACAGGCCGGGCCAACCGGGACCGCTGAAACTATACCAGTTCCGGTTGATTGATATGACAACTCGGTCAGCCTGAGACTTCATTACTCAAAACTGGATCGTCTTCATTGATCGTCCGCCGCTGCCACAGCTCCCTGCGACTAACGCCGTTTATCAGCGAATCGTCCGCAGCTCCGTGTGAGCTATGCTGTCTACCAGTAGACCATCCGCCGCTGCCACAGCTCCCTGCGACTAACGCCGCTTATCAGTGATCTACACATACATAATTAACATACACAATGATCTTTTATCTTAACTGTTGCCATAATGCCTGCATGACCGTTGTCAGCTATTTTGCCGTCCTGCGGCGCTTGCGTTTCGCACGCGACTAAAGAGGTCTTCGCGTTGCCTTCATGGTATTTCAAATGGCGTCAACGGCTGATTTGTAGCACAAACAACAGCGTCACTACGACGGTGAACATGCCCTATTTATGTGACGTACACGGTCATGTGACATACGCCGTCTATATGTGATGTACACAGGTTATGCCTGACATATACTGGTCATATGTGATGTGCAGTCTATACGCAATACACATGGTCCACATTCAAATAACGGGGTTTTCAATAAAGAACGTTGTCTATGTGTGATCTAAACATTTATATTTAGCGTGTACAGTTTATGTGCAGCGTGTACAGATTATGTGTGACAAACACGATCGGCATGACTTTTATCTGGCAAGTAAGGTCGGCACATGGCAAACATTGCCGCTTGGGGCCATCGGCCGCCCGGTGACAGTACTGTGTTGAATGTGACCCATTAGCCTCACACCATCGAGGCGAGTCAGAATGCCAGTCAAGCACCGGGCGTGAGCCAGACACATTCACATACAGCTACATGATTATCCGAAGATGACAGCGTAGGTGTTAAAAACAGCACTAACTGAGACAGCATTGCATGATGGAAGCTTACGCGCAGTCTTTGATGCAAGACACAGGGATAGTTTACAGGGATATCGCCTACTAAGGCTAGCATCTTAAGCAGATAATGCACACCTGATGTGAACGTCTATGTCAGTTAAGAAGCACCGTACTTGCTACAGCCGCAGCTTGCTGCAGTGTCGTGTTCAGCCGCTGGTCTCCGCCGCCGCCAGCCCCTACTGCGCGTTCACTCGGTGTCCTCCCGGCCGACTGCCGGCGCGGCGCCTCATGACATGCGCCGCAGAAGGAGGAAAGTTCGGCCGCAATCGGCTTACAAACGGACCAAGGCCATACAACTACACGAGCAAGCAGATCTATTTCTATAGATAGAAAAACGCTTGCGCTAACGAAATGTGCTGCATAGGCATAAATTAGGAAAGTTTTGTAACTGTGCTCCCAGGCATTTACTGCTGTTAGCACAAAATTGACGCACATAATAATGCACATTGAACACAGAGGTGACTGGCGTGGAGAAGTAGATGCTGTTGACCCATCAGTAGAACGGAACAGGACCGGAGAGAATAGTGTACAATTCGAGTAACAGGTCGAAATATTAAGTACAGGTAATATAATTGATACTAACCACTAAAACGACGAATAACCAGCATCCCAAGGTACATTAAAGGCTGCTTATTCTGCAAACAAACTTTTAACTCATAATGCCGAAAAACCAGGAGCTGAAGTTATTTGAAGCTCCTTATTATTTGAAGCATTCATTGATTTTGATCAACATGTTTAAGGAAACGCGATATGAAATAATTTTTGACTTTCTTGGGCGAGGGGCGTTATCATTTTTTGGGGGGGATGGCGGGGACAAGTCAGGATTAGAGGAGTGACACTGGAATCTAGACGACACAACCTGACCTGAAATGATATTTTGGATTGGAAGATTTAAAAGGCAAGTATTCTGTAGACAACATTGGCTAAGACACAAATGCATTGGGACGCAGTACATATAAAGAACGGGCCAAATCAAGCTTTCTGTCCCCAATCTCCACAGACGTTCTTACCTCACTGGGCATGACATGGAAGCCAGAAGACAGGAGATGGATGACGTGAGGCAACAGGATAGGAACGGGTTAGGCAACGGGTTAGCATCCGGGGCAGAATGAAAGAGAACAAGGTAGAACAGGAAGAAGGGATAGTTAATAGCACAGGACAGGATATGGCAGGGCAGAACAGGAGACAAGATAAATCGAGACAGGCCCGGAGCTGACATGACGTGA